GGAACCTTGGTATAAAAATAGAAATAAAATTCTTTCCTGAAGTATATCATCCAGTGATGGTCCTTCAACATGTTTCTGTTTGCCTGTTTGTCGTTTTATGCCTGACTCGGCCATAGGATGGTAGCATGTAATCGAGTTTGAACCAAACAAACCAACGATTGATATGATGAGTAAAGATCCATGTCATCGATGTGTACGGTGACACACCATCAACCAAGTCACCAGGCCTGTCCATGCGGTACATTTAGTTGCCTCTTACAACAATGGTGAGTGAGTGAGTGAGTTTGGTTTTACGCCGCTTTTAGCAATATTCCAGCAATATCATGACGGGGGACACCAGAAATGGGCTTCACACATTGTACCCATGTCGGGAATTGAACCCGGGGCTTCGGCGTGACGAGCGAACGCTTTAACCACTAGGCTAACCGACCGCCCCCTTCTTACAACAGAATGTTGACCGAATCTGACATGGAATCCACTCGTTCATGTACCTTGTGTAATACTGTGTAGGTTCTGCCTCGGTCAAGATCCAACTAACTCCACTAGCTGTTGAACTTGTAACAGGGCACACAAGACATGAGTGCTAGATTAATGAGTTTCATGGCATGTCCTTCACTCATACCAATGTAAGGAACCTATCAAACTCTGGCTCACCGACTGTGCCAACATGTCCTGATAGAGACATCATGTATAGGTTGTTGTGACACAGGAATAATGCTGACTGGGGCATTAAACAAGCACATATGACTGATGGTTGGATGGTTGGTTTGTTGTAACGCCACACTCAGCAATATTCCAGCTACATGGCAGCAGTCTGTAAATAATCGAGTCTGGACCAGACAATCCAGTGATTTATATCATGAGCATCGATCCACGAAATTGGGATTGATGACATGCATCAACCAAGTCAACAAACCTGACCACCCGATCCCATTAGTCGCCTCTTACAAAAGGCGACTACTGTAGGCTTGTGTGTCTCTATATCAGTGTCTGTTTCTCTCTGTGTGTGAGTGAGTGTGTCTCCCTCGGTATCAGTGTATGTCTGTGTGTTTTACCAAGTCTGGCCTACCATTCCCTTAGGTTGCCTCTCACAACCAACAGACCATCTAAATGAATTGTCAGCGAAGGCTGGAATCATCAGCTGTAGATATCAGCATTGATAGTTGAAACTTTTTACAAACTATGAACAACTTCTTGTTCAGTGGAAGCTGGAGAAAGAGTTTTCTTATTTCTCTTGAAACAACAACACGATCTGTGCCCAAATGTAATCTTAGTGCCACGACTGCTGCAAGTCTGTTAAGGTATGCGAGTTACAATCATTTAAATGCCAAGATTGATTTTCATTTATATTAAGTTCTGTTAGTAAGTATCTGCTACCCAGGAGTTAGAACCTTATGTTTGTAGTACAACAAGCCAAGCACTTTAGGGAAAAAACTCTCCATTCTCTTCTTTCATTCACATATCGGTACAAGAAAAGTGTTACTATAGAACAGTGATACTGTGAAATGCTGATTCACATCATTGAAAATTTTCTGATAGTAAACTCGGAACTTAATTGTTGTTTTTCCGGAACACAAAATCATAAAGTAATTTACAAAGTAATATTCCAGCGATATGGGGATGAAAGAACAGACTCTTTGTGTGCACCTCAGTGTGCAGCTGATATATGCTCAGGACACTGGCTGAAAACTTATCACATTGTAAACTCTTCATGCAAGTGAGCTGGGTTTAAGGTCGCTTTTAACAGTATTCCAGTTACATCACGGCATGTCAGGTCAATGATGGAGGAAAGGCCGAAGTTATGTAGGTCTTAAGCATATTCCAATTTTGTGAAACCCACAAGCACCGGTATGGTGCTGACAACCCTAGAAACACAATCGTTGGTGGTTCAATCCCCTGGGCACGTCAAGACGCTAAAAGATGGAACTTGATGTTACCCTGCCTTGCACTCGGCATTAGGGGATTAACAAAACAAGGATTGGTGGTCTCTTAGTCAATGTGATGTTTCAGAGTAGGGTATCCATATAAAATTGTGGCATGGTATCTCATCGTCTGTCACTATAAAACCAGCACAAGTCCAGACCGGTGAGAGCAGGTGAGGTGAGGTGGAATGGGGTTTAACGTCGCGTCCAAGATTATTGCACTTATATAGCGACATGCATGTAGGTGTGTGTGTTTGTGTGGCTGCTTGTACTAGTCCGGACTGATGCCGATTTATAGTGCTAGCTCACTGAGATACCATGCCGCAGTTTAACATGAATCCCCCACTCAGACACCGTATACTGACTCCGAGCCGACCGGTCCTTGTTTTAGCCCCTTAATGCCGAGCGCCAGACAGGGTAACAACAAGTACCATCTTTTAACATCTTGGTACGATGCGGATGGGGATCGAACCCCGGACCTTCCGCTCTCCGGGCGGACGCTCTACCACGAGACCACGGAGGCGGTCCCCAGTGAGAGCAGCCATGCACATGGCTATGAGTGAAAGAGTCTTATGTGCAACACTGAGCCCCATCTCACCCCACCTCAGTTACACAAAGTATTAAGACAGAAGCTTAACACAGCTTTAGAAATACTTAGACTTTTATTATGAAAATCATATGCACATGATGAATTGAAATTTACATGTATGTACACAAACATTGAGGAGAAGAACATGAGTGCGCACAGTCCGTACTCGCATGTTACAGCTTGATTAATATGCACATCTTCCTAAATGCACCAAATATACACATGAACGATTGGCTGCTGCATACTGCTGAATCAGCAACTATTCATGTCATGTGAGAGAAGGGGGTGTCCCGCTGCTTTCAGCAAGATTACAGCATTCTCACTTAAAGGAACAAGCTTCACAAGCTCTGGTAATCAAACCAGCTCCCTCACCCGGACACGAGTTTCACCAATGATTCCACATAATTTTGATGATCACCAAAACTTGTAAGATATATATGTATACATTATAAACATAGTTGCCATTTCAAACTACCCCGTTCATGATTAACATAAAAAGACAAAATACACTTTCTAAAATACTGCATAACCCCAGTGCGTCAGATTGAGGCTAAGGTCACTGACCCTTAAAAGACACATGACACTCTATTTTTCAGCAATATGGCTCCCCTAGACTAAAATTCAGAAAACAGGGCCATAGTATTACTGGTAAAGGGTCATTTCACACATCTGTATCAATATCAATCTGAAACTCGAGGATTCTAAACGATATTATGCGAAAGAATCAGAATAACATAGGCCCACTTGTGCAAGGAGATCTTAGCATGAAGACTATTGTAAATCTATGTTAAAATAGGAGAGTAAAAGATGATCTCAGCGCCAAGATCACTTTGTGCAAGTGAGCCTCAGTCTTTCATCTCACATTAATGGTTTAAAATATTATTCTAGGTGGTTACATATCTTCTTCTGTCAGCAACAACAATATTTTACAAATGAGATCCACTGTAGAGGTTTACATACCAGCACATCACATCACATCACATCACTCAAAGTGAATACCGGTAGTTACAATGAACGATTATCTTCTGATCAAGTCGTTCTTAAATGTGTTCATAACATACACTTAAAATGATTAAAAAGAGAGAGGCTAAAACAAACTGGTTATTTGTTAAAATGGTGACCTTTAATCAAATTTGGAATATATAATTTGGGGTAATTTTCTGATCAGGAACAAATACTATTTGGCCTGTACCTCTGCAAAAGATCTGCTAACGGTAAGAAGGTCTAAAATCTAAAAGCAATATATAATAGTTGAAACTCAGAGCTATTAATGTCCACAGAAATCTCAATTCGAGAGAGAAAATTCATTCTGTCATTTCTACAGCTAAAAATAACAATACAGTGTAATACTGATGGCAAACCGCCACTGACAACATACAGCCATGCTACAATGTACAGTCAAGTCTCGTTAATCCGACACTCGTTAATCCGACAATCGGCTTTATCCGACACTAATGATGGGAACCGATTAAATCAGTGCTGTATAGACCCGTTAATCCGACAGTCTCGCACTCCGACTCCGACACACCTAATTTGAAACGAATTACCGAAATCACTCATTAATCAGTCTGGTTTATCCGACACAGTGATCAGCGTACTGATTAGATTACTGGTTGCATGATTAGAAAACATATTCCGCCAACAACGTAACATAACAATATGAATATATATTCTATATTTTATTACGTGTTTGAATCCTTATCTACCGTGTAGTTGTCCGATTTTTTATCACGAACATTGATACTACTAAATTTCGTTTATCCGACATACTCGTTAATCCGACATAATCATATGCAACCATCGATGTCGGATTAACAGGACTTGACTGTATGTGGTAACCCACTGTCAGCTATGTCATCAAATAGTAAATGTGATGTGCACCAATCAATTCATGTCCGACAACTTCTGTTGGAATCTGTGTGCAGTGTCCGTTGAAATGTGAATCCATTTGCTCAGAGAAAATTGTGTTCTTGGGACATTATACATGAACCACAGACAAACAATAAGTTGATAGCTTAAAATAGGCACAAACAATCAATAAATTTATCAAAGTGTTGTTGATTGGAAAATGGCCGAAATTATTACAGCAATCATGCTTGTATCAGATCTTTAAGCTGTTCCCCAGACCAATGTGTTGAGGTTACAGCCATTTCATTTTTTGAAGAAAGATAAAAATAATTTGGTATTGACAATGAAAAACATCTTCAGACAATTCAAACAAATACCGTATTCGACATATTAAGCGCCCCGGGCGCTCTCAAAATTGGAAATAGTGGGCTCTTTTTAGAATATAACTTTGGTGAGAACAAAAACAGTTGAAAAATTGTAAATTTCGTAGTTTATGCTGACAGCCTGAAATGATATAAAAGAAAAGTATGTACGTATCATACACAACAGATATATTATCCAGAATTTAACTGCCCACAATTAAGGGTGCTTATAACACACGAGTGAGTATTATACACGAATCAATAAATCCTGTGTACATTGATCAATCGGAAGGGGTGCTAATTGGGATTGTTCACCAGCTAATATATTAGCAAATATCCATGGGCGCTTAATATGTCGAATACGGTAGTCAAAATCAAAACATGCAAAGGGAGATAATTCTCCAGCTTTTAACAGTCACATCGAAGAAGAAACAAGACATGATCAGCAAAAGTCAAAAATCCCTATTGCAAAATTATAATCACACATCTAACCAATACTCCCATAGGAGAATGATGGCCACTATCCATTGCCCACAAGTGTCCAAAATAACTGCCCTGCCCTCCCCTGCCCTGCCCTCTGCCGTCTGCCCTGCCGTCTGCCCGCCTGCAGAACATTTCCTCCACCTGCCCTACTGTCTGGCAGAACATTATGAGACTGCTAATATATTCAGCTTTATTATAACTCCTTGGGGATTTTCAAGTAATTGTGCGCATTATTTCAACTGAATCAAGATGCAATAAGTCTCGTATATTCTTTTGCGATTTTTCAATACTAATAACTTTGAAGATGGGAAGACAACACTTATGGGTCACGAGCCCGACTGTCTTTTTAAGTTTTAAACTTATTTCAAACATTGATTGCCCATCCAAACTACTGTAAAAATGCACTATGACTTCGTCAGATCACCTGACCTGTCTCATTTGAATATGCCTTATTTGGCATTTCCTGCTATTCATTTCATGGAAGCAAGAGATCATATGACAAAATAAGATTAAAATGGTATTAAAAAAATACTGCCAACTCTAATAGTATGAATAAATTAATAAAAAAAATAAATAAACATGAAACATCACTCAAAATTAGAGTTAAAATACATAGCAAAGTGTTTACCGCATAGTTAAAAGCTATGTAGAGCGAAAAGAGTTGCAGCCATTAGATATGACATATTCAGCTGCAGTTGTTTGGGTGGGGAAATGGCAGCATTCACATACCTCGTGAGTGCAGTCGAGTTGCAGAAATTCAAAAAGTTATTTAAGACTTTTCATAATATTCTATTTCTATCACCAACACATTCATTCAAAGACAATATTATTTTCATCATTTTTTCGACCACCAACATTCAATGTTCAAAAACAAAAACTCTGTAAACCAACTAAAAAAATGAATGGCCTTGATGTGTTTGAAAGTCTGTAAACAGAATGTATCTTACTCTGTTCATGCAGAATAGTTAATCAATGCTCAACAAGCATCGCTGATCACTGTCATCGATCGTGCCATTGAAAAGTGTGGAAGTGAAACTATTTCTTCCAATTTATGTTTAACATCATACAGGCAGCGGACTGGGAAAATAATCAGAGGCAGATTTCTATCAGATTCGCTTCAGACCGGTGTCCCCTCTAAAAAACTCAAAGAATGTTGGATTAGGGTATTGAGTTTGGCTTGAAACTTCCTTGAGTTTCTTTCAGTTACATCATGGCATATCAGCACAGTGTGGGAGGAGAGCCGAAAGTGATGGAGGACAGTTACAACTTTGGTGAAACCCACCAGCTCTGGTACGGAGTGGGCAAACCTAGAAACATAATAACTATGAACCAGGGAATGGAACCCACAATCATACGGTAGGTTTCAGACGTCCCTGAATGAGCCATTTTCTGAAGCAACTTTGAACAGCAAATTGAGTTGCATTGCACGATGAAGAAGACATGAATACGATAAAATGTAACTGATCAGGTTCACCATATCAATCAGTTCCCATCACCACAAGGATTATGTCTGGCTGTCTGTGTAGATAATATGCATGACTTCTTGTGCCTGAGTAAACCAGGTCGGTACTTATAGACTTTGCCACAATGGCACTGAAAGGTGAGATTGTCGTGCACGGCCTCAGCATGCGTCTTCCGCGCCTTTGCATCACCAAACGCTTTGCCACACTGGTCACATATGAATGCTTTCCTCTCAGGTTTATCACCCTGTTTGACTGACGGGAAAATGTGAACGAGAGAATTGTCAGCCAGGTTGATAGAGAAGGGGAGAGCGCCACACGGATCAGAACCCGACTGTTTCATGAAAGCCTGTCTATAAGGCCATGGCTGGACAACACTGTCAGTTAAGTGCTGATGTGGGTTCATAGAAACTCTGTAACCTGAAACACACGAAGAAGATTCTCTAGTTTCTTCAAAGGAGAGTGCATTAGATATCATGCTGGCTTTCACGATGTAACAGGAAAAATAATCTTACACAAAGGACATGAGGTGCAGCAGTCATCATCGTCTCTCTTGTACAAAAGACATCTTTAGATCTCAATACACTGGCACGTCAGTGTCGTGCCTTCAGACCTCAAAACAAGTCACTGAACTGTCTGGCTTCTTAAGATCTTCTTATCGTTTGATACAAATGCCATCAAAGAGAATGGCATCCCAGTACAAATGACACCCTTGGTATTTTGTATCTTCAGACGCTGTATGGCAATTGTCACCAAAGTCTCCTGAGTCTTAGACCTTGCATAAAATGTTTTGGATTTTTTCATCTCTCGAATACAACAGTATCATCCAATGCAACACAAAAGTCATCATTAAATTACTGCAGTACATATGCTACCAAGTACCGATCATCCATCCAAATACACATGGCATGAAGGCTTGCTGGTTCTGTTCCAACAACAATCTACAATTCTCCAAGCCTGACATCGGAAGTAACTTCATCGGAAAACTTGCCACACAAAAAGTCAAAACAGTTTCAGGACAGATTTGCTTTTAAATACCCATAAAAATCCCAAGAAAAGTACTGAAGAATTCCAAAAGCATACATGAACAAGGTCAGATAATTTTCAAAGTACATTGAAAAGAATACAGGCAGTCCATCTAAACCCAAGACAACAAGATTACTGTCGTCTCTGAAGAAGCGATATTTTCAATTTGAAGTAACGTTCCTCCCTCATCCAGTGCACTAAACCCTAGACAACAAGATTACTGTCATCTCTGAAGAAGCGATATTTTCAATTTGAAGTAACGTTCCTCACTCATCCAGTGCACTAAACCCTAGACAACAGGATTACTGTCATCTCTAAAGAAGCGATATTTTCAATTTGAAGTAATGATCCTCACTCTTGCAGTGCACTAAACCCTAGACATCAGGATTACTGTCATCTCCAAAGAAGCGACATTATCAAAAGAAGGTAACGATCCTCACTCTTGCAGTGCACTAAACCCTAGACAACAGGATTACTGTCATCTCCCAAGAAGCGACATTATCAAAAGAAGGTAACGATCCTCACTCTTGCAGCTGCTCAGTCATTGTCATCTCTCATCATCTTAGCACAAGCACATTTCTTCTTATGCATCCTTAGTCCTGTCATGTACTTATACTCCTTGCCGCAGACACAAGAAAATGGTCGCTTATCATGCACTGCCCGTTTGTGGTTTGACTTTGATTTGGAATCTGCAAAAATCTTGCCACATTCATCACAGGTGGAATTTCGGATTGCCTTCACCTGACTCGACAAATCGCCATCTTTGCCAAGGAATGAACCATCAAAGGCATTAACACGCATAGCAAGGCCTTCGGCAACAACAGCAGATGATGAACTATCAAATGGATTAACACGCATAGCGAGGCCTTCACCAACAACAGGAGTTGACGAATGTCCAAGAAATCCACCCGGCTTCCAGATTCTCTCTCTGAGCAGACCTACTGAATACTCTGCCTGGCTTATACTCTGTCCTCCAATATCTGAAAGTAACAAAAAGGTTTGGCTAGTTTCATCACAGAACCGTTCAACAATGATACCCGAAACAATTGCTATAGCAGTCTACTTCTGTACCTGTAAACTCAGTTGACATGTTTTCTTATGTCTCCTGAGAGCAAATGGGTACTTGTATGTCTTCCCACACACACAAGGCAGTGTCACATTGTTATGGATAGCATCTATGTGGACCATCATGGTCTTTTTCTCAAGAAACACTCGCCCACAATCTGGACAAAACCATCGCTTCCTAAACAGTTCCCCTTTCATATTGGCCAGGCCGTGGGGGGAATTAACAAAGGGGTCTCCCTGGGGGGTGACACCCATCCTTATGTTGTCGGCTACATACACAGCAGATCCAACCGTTTGACTATCAAATCCTCCTTCACCAAGCTCTGTCTTTGGAGCATTAGCCACCACAGAGAAGTCTGAAAGCAACAAAAAGTCTAGTTTTCAAGAACATACTTGTTACACACTCATTACACATTCTCAAGTCATTTTCCTTGCTCTTCACATGCCACTGATTATGTACCTTCTGAAATGTTGGATTGTCAATCTGTATCATCCTATGTGGTCATAATTCACCGCTGGGCGATGAGTAATATCTTCTTGCGTTTCACATATTTTCTGGATTGTCAATCTGTATCATCCTATGTGGTCATAATTCACCGCTGGACGCTAAGTAATATCTTCTTGCGTTTCACATGTTTTCAGAATATGCCTTCTGATAATTGGCAATTCGTGTTCCTATTCACAGGGCACACCCATACAATAAGTCAGTTACCCAAGCAATCATATACTGCAGAGCCACCACAAACTAGTGCCATTGTGAGTCATGTCCGATAATCAAGAATCTTTCAATATTTTAATAATTCATGACGTTCCCAATTCTGTATTGGACAAGCTTGGGGGAAAGGCATCCTTTCATGCACTTATCAAACAACTGAAAGGTCAATTGTGACAACACTAATGTCCCATCCTCAGTACATCTGTGGTCACCTTTCTGTGCCCTCACCACATAACTGAATCACCAAAATTACAACTGTACGATTGATTACAACTCTATCCAAACAGAATGAATCCTCATCAACTTCCTAATTCGTCATTGAGCAGACTTTTTTGTGCAAGCGTAGACCTGTCCTGTACTTGTACTCCTTCCCACATGCACATGCATATTTACGCTTATCATGTTCGGCCTCTTTATGGTTCTGTCGGGACGTAGAGTCCAAGAACACTTTGCCACAAACAGTACACGGCCAGGGGCCTTTCCTTTTGGTGTGACTTGAAGTCCTATGAGTGTTCCAACTCCCCTGTCCCCCTTCTTGAGACTGAGACTGGTACAATGGTTGTCCATACGAACCAGCACAATAATCCCACTGACCAGAACTCACAGACTGACCTGCCGTCTGCTGCTCATTATCAACTGAACATCCAAAATCTGAAAGCAACAAAAAGTACCATAGAGTTTCGGACTGAAATCACACAGGCAAATGTGCCACAGAAACAAAGTCATCATTTTCCCCTCGTTCAGCAGTTTCAACAACACATGCCAACACTCAATAGTTCCTGGAAACAATTATTCAATTTGACGGGATTTGTTCTCAATTACATGACCAAACTGAGAATAATCAGCCGAAAATAAGATACTCCAGAAACAATCTAGAAACGTTAAACTGAGGATATAGATTAACTACATTGTGACCAACTACGAAAGTGTGCTAGAATAAAATATTTTCAGATATTGACTCTAGTACACGGGAAAGAAGTGAGGTTTCCACCTTGAACATGTGCAAGGGCATGGGGCAGCAGGACACTATTGTCTGTACAACTGATTATGGACAGTTGACAATTAAGAGGACTCCTGTTGAAAATTTCATATTTCTTATAGTGTGATGACAGCCAAAATACAGGATTTATGGCAGTGATGACCAATTTGCAGGAATTGAATGTTTTCTGGCAACAATTGATTAATTTGACAAGATTTGTTCTCAGTTCATAAGGCTGACCAAAACTCTTTTCTAAGTCATGATTAAACAAGGTTCTGCAAAACACCTCCCATGGTAAGATCACCTCATCAATGGAGGCACATTGGTGGATGTGGTAAGTTAAATGTCATGGCGACCGATTTTGGACACCTATTGTCTGAATGAACATTTAATTCCAAAGATTCATTACCCTGGAGCCATGACATCCATATGCCATGACATACCAGCTAGTACCGAGCTCATTTGTGCCTCATGTGACAGAACAGGAGCATATCAGAAAACAAGTAGTCCTTTCACATTTTCACTAGTCTCTGGACCAACAGACTACTGTGCTAAACCGACACTGATTTGATGTCCTCCTTCTGGACACATCTTTCTCCTGCAGCTTAATCACCGAGATTTGTGTCAGATCTGTCTGGCTATCAAGTAATATGATTGTCCCTAAAGCTGAACAAGTTTGAACATAGTCAAAATTTACCTAATCCAACTTCTGAGTGAGCGAGTGAGTAAGTTTGATTTTATGCGGCTTTTAGCAATATTCCAGCAATATATCACAGCGGGGGACACCAGAAATGGGCTTGACACATTATACCCATGTCGGGAATCGAACCCGGGTCTTAAGCGTGACGAGTGAACTCTTTTACCACTAGGCTACCCGACGGCCTCTCAACTTCTGAAATTTCAAGGATGGCAAGAGCTGTAACATTTGAGGGACATTCACAGCAATTATCCAGAAGTCTTAAAACTAAATCTTCCCACATATTTACAGATGTTTGATTGCCAATTCCAGGATGGAAAGCTTTACCTTGAACAATTCATCGCAGATGACAGCTGTACAAGAAATCGCAAGACAAAATACTTCTAAATTACAAAGCAAGGCCCATTCCAAAGTTTTCTTTGTTGTGATCACCATTCACTTCAGCATCAAAAGATATGGACGACATGACTTCTGATGTCTCTGTAATGCATTACGGAAGGTGTAGATCTTCCCACAAACACATGCATAGGTCAGTTTATCATGAATGGCTTCCTTATGCTGCTTTCGGGAGTGGGGATGAGTGAAGACCTTGCCACATTCTGTGCAAGGCCAAAGTGTCTTTCCCTCGCCAGACTTTAGTTTACTGGGTGCATCACCAACATTATACAACTGATCACACGCTCCGTCTATTGCTGACTGTCCATACACTCCGCCTACATGCATCCAGTTATGGCCATCAGAATCCCCTGTGTAATGACGACTCAAATCTGAAAGGAACAAAAATCAGTTTCTGAGATTTCTAAACCTCCAGTTGGGACCAAGCAAGCTCTTCCACCAATTCACCGAGATGCACCTCAGCTCTTGGACAGCTGGAACACGCTGCAGGCTTTCTGATGCCTTTGTAAAGCACTGACATACTTATAGATCTTTCCACAAACACAAGAATAAGTCCGATTCTCGTGAGTAGCTTCAATATGTCTTTTCACAAAGCGAAGTTGAGAGAATGTTTTCCCACAGATTTCACACGGAAAACTATATGTATCTGAAGCCATGTCTTCCACCATACCCTCACTATGACAATATTGCAGGGACCGAGCCACAGCCTCGAATTGGGGCTGATGTCTGGGCCAAGGTTGAATCTGTCTTGAAGCAAGGTCAAAGCCACCCTGCACAGAGCTACCCCTGAAGGATTCACTCAAACCAACACAAGCAGCATAACCTGAAACCAATAAAAGTTGGATTCTAGTTGGTGCTGAAGATTAAAGCCATGTCACAACAGAAGCGTCTAGTGCTACATTCTGGCAATCAAACTGAGTTGAAGATAAAGCATGATTTCTGATGTTTCAGGAATGTAAAGCGATATTTGTAGATTTTGCCACACAGGCAGGTGTAGGTAACAAAGTCATGGTGTGCATCTTTGTGTCTTTTTCGGCCTCGTGCATCCGCAAATACCTTCTCACATTCATCACAAGGGAAAACAGGTTTTTGTGGGTCTATGGTCCTCGCTTGGCCATTATCAAAACTTTCATACACAGAAGACAAACTAGTTTCGAGATTATGGGTAGATATTTGTCCTGAGGCCGCTCCATAATGACCAAACTTGCTTGAATCCTGATAAGAAGAGTCTGCCAAATAGTCTGAAAGCAATAAAAAATCTATTCTAATATGATTCAGCTTTTCAAACTCAAAAACGACTTTTAGTCATGCAACAAAATTAAAATGGGTGTGTTGTCTGCGAAGGTACAGAGTGTCAAAAAACTCAAGGTGTCAAGCAAATTTTAGGCAAAGGAATCTGTCAAACTAAATGTTTGAAAGGCAAAGGGTGACGGACTATAAAAGGCCACATTACAAAGTGGTACTGTATGATACAATCAATCCCACCACGAAGTTTCATTCGCAAAAATCTTTTTATTAATGAACAATCTCGGTCAAAAGTTGTCTTTAGGCTTTGGAAATGATAAGATCAAACTGGTCCTGTGAATCATCGGAAGGGGCGGCATTATGCCGACTTCATTCATCTCCTGCATGTCTCAACAACCACACTGTCAACTCAATCTACATCCGGGCTAGATCCCACATAACAAACTAGTGTAGGTACATGCCAAAAGCCTAAATAACGCCAGCCATAAGAAAAAGATTGTCTTGTCGAAGCAAGTCATGAGTGAGTTGGGATTTTATGACAGTTTCAGCAATATTTGAGCCATATCATGTCGTAAGACAACAGGCTTCACACATTGATGGAGTGAACTCGGGTCTTTGGTGTGACCAAATGCTTTAACCTCTAGGCAACCCCACCACCCCGTGCTTTGTAGAATTAGGCTTTGAATACTTAAACAGTCATAAAACGTTAAAAAATATTCATCCATAATCACCTGACAAAAGGATCAGGACAATTGATCCAATGCCAAGATCTGTCTCACTCTCAGGTTTCATCTTGAGAAAGACAATGCCTTGTGTACCTTAAGAGGTACAAAACATGTCTTTGGAAAGATAGCTTCTCATTGTTTAGGGAAAATCTGCATCA